AGGACAGGGATTACTCGGCCAGTGGCGTGCTTGTGTGGGAAGCACAGGGTCCTGCACTGTATTGTCACGAGGCAGAGTAGAAGGACTCCAAGGGAAAGCCTTGGAGAAATGGGACAGGAGAGGAGCTGCTCACTACGAAGTCGGGCTTTCACCAGCAAATAAACAAAAGCCCCGCACAGTTAACAACTGCTTCAGGCCTGTCTCCTTTCCCTGCTATGAACCTAAACTTTTCTAGGACCAAGGAAAGGATGTGTGTTCCTCGTGCAATCCACACGGCCTCTGGAGCCACCCTATAAATTCACCCATCAAAAAAAGAAGAGACAAAAAGAAGTTTCTTAGCAACCTTTTGAGATATAACTCAAGAGCTACTAAAATGTTGGTGATGGGCTCTGACAATTGCTACTAACACTCCTGTGACTCCTCTTTGAAGAATCTGTAGGATGCTGCCTGGGTATGCCTTACTCCTCCACGTTCCCTTGGGAAGCACACACCCACACTTGGCCATGCCCTTCTTTCTGAAATCTCTGGTTCTCTGTGACTCCTTTGCTTGATTCTTGATATCTTTGATTAACAAAAACCTCCCACAAGAACTGGCTGAGCCTGACATTCTTTTCTGTGCCAAAGCCACGATTCCTGGTTTAGCCTTATTCAAGGTCCCTTAAAGATTAGGGACTGGGGCTGGAGAGGTTTCTGAGCAGTTAACATCACTTGCTGCTCTTCTGGCCACCTTGGTTTGGGTCCTAGGATCCAGGACAGGCAGCTGGTCACCACCCATAACTCCAGGTCTAGGAGATCCAATGTCCTCTTCTGGTCTCTTTAGATACCTGCATTCATATGGCATACACACACATACACATAACTAAAAATAAAAAAATAAATCTTTTATTAAGGGAATGCCTCCTGCTCCTGAGGATGGCAGTATGAAAGCCGTCTCTTTGTCTCTTTACTGCTGCTACACAGAACCGGTATCAAACACCAGACATAATGGCATGCTTGTGTAATACCAGCACTGGGGAGGCAGAGGAAAGAGGATCTCTGGGCCTTGGTAGTCAGCCAGTCTACCCTAACTGATGAGCCCCAGGTCAATGTCCTTGTTTCAAAGTCAGTAGACAGCATTCCTGATGATGACACCTGAGATTGTCCTCTGGTCAACACACACACACACACACACACACACACATATGAACGCACATACACAAATGCACATGAGCAGTGAGGAGGTGAAGGAGAAGGGTTTGGAAAGAGGATAAACAAAAACAAATTATGTTTCAAAATGCCCCAGTAAAACCCAATGCTTTGTACATGAACAACAACAAAAGGCTTCTTCTAAGTTTTTAAAGGGCACAGGAATAAAAAACACAGAGCAATAAAGAAAGAAAGTTGGTTAGCACATGGTTGGCTTTCTCAGTACACCATTGCATCCTTTTCTGCTGATGGAAAGGCCAGAGTGACATTGTTCATCAGGGTCTAGTCTTACTGTCCTGTGGGGACAGCAGTGTCAAATGCTCTCATGCTCTCGTTGCTCTTCTGACTCTGCATCTCCCCATGCCCATGTGCTCTATGTCCTCAGAATAAACGGCTAGAGGAAGTGAAGAGGGAAGAGAGGGAGCTGCTGGAGGCGCAGTCCATCCCCCTGAGAAACTACCTGATGACCTACGTGATGCCCACGCTCATGCAGGGGCTCAATGAGTGTTGCAAGGTGAGACCTGAGGACCCCGTGGATTTTCTGGTAAGATTTCTTTAAAGCAAAATTTTAAAGGTTTATTTATTTTATGTATATGGTTGTTTTGCCTGCATGTATCTATGTACACTACGTGTGTGTAGTTCCTACAGCGGCCCGAAGAGGGCATTAGACTCCATGGAACTGGAGTTATAGGAGGTTATGGGTGCTGGGAATCAAACCCAGGTCCTCTGCAAGAGCAGCAAGTGCTCTTAACTGCTGAGCCATCTCTCTAGCCCCAAGATTTAATTTTCAAAATATCAAATTGAAGCATGACTGAAATTTAATAGAAATCTATGTGAGTTTGAGAGAATCCACATCTCATTGCTCAGGAAATCGCTTCTAATATATTCATGGTTTACAGTAAGATTTCTTCTTTCTCCTCCTCTGAGCATTCCTTTGTAAAAATAAATATATAGTTTAAATATATTGAGAACTTCATATACACATAACATTCTGATCCTGTTTTCTCCTCTTAGCCTCAAGTTCCTCCTAGATCCTACATCCTCCCACACCCCCTTCCAACTTCATGGCCTTTTGTGTTTGTTTCTTTTTTTAAAATAAACTACTGAGTCTGATTAGTGTTTCCCTAGGGACATGGGCAACCCACCATGGACTATGTCCCTAAAGAAAACTGACTCCCCCTCCTTTAGCAGTATCACCTGTCAATAGCTTTTCTGCTAGGAGTGAGGGTTCCTGTGCCATTGTCCCATCCATGTTCTTTTATCTATTGTTATATAAGTTCTTTAATCTTTTATTGGGAAGGAATTTATATACCCTTAAATTCATAAACACTGATAGCACAAACATGTGGCAATAAATGCCTTGTAATTTGTTAACTTCTGCCTGGGAAGATGACTTATTGTGTAGAGCACTTGCTACTCAAAGTGTGAGGACTTAAGTTCAGACGCCCAGAAACTATATAAAGCTGGGTGCTATATGGCCTGTGTTTGCAATCCCAGTACTCCTATGGTGAGATGAGAGGCAGAGACAGGAGAGTCCCTAGAAGCCCACAGCCCAGCTAGTTTGATGAACATAGAGGGCCTGTCTATTTGTGGAAGGTTAGAACTGATACCCGAGGTTGTCTTCTGATTGCCACATGCATACCTGTATCTCGGTGGGCATGCAGCCCCCCCCCAAGACTTGAAACATGAAAAAAACAATTGTTTCCTCTCTGTTGCAGGCAGAATATCTCTTCAAGAACAACCCTGACATGCAGTAACTATTCATCAGTGCTGGGCCATGGGGCTTCAAAAGAAGAGCTCAAGTTAAACTTGTAATTTGAAAAAGCACTTTTCCAGGGGCTTGGGGGGTGAGGGGTTATGGGGAATCCTAAAGTAGAATCATTAAAAAGCTATATTACAATGAATAACTAATGCTTCATTGAAATAATATTTAAAATTTAACAGATAAGACATACATATGTAACCCAGGGATTAACGTTTTAATATGTTCCTGTTTTTTTCTTTTGAGGCAGGGTGTCTCTGTATAACAACCCTGGTTGTCCTGGAACTCACTTTGTAGACCAGGCTGGCCTCAAACTCACAGCAATCTGCCTGCCTCTGCCTCCCAAGTGCTGGGATTAAAGGCACTAGCTTCAGATCTTGCTCACGTGGTAGAGTGCTTGATTAACACACACAAAACCCTGGTGGGGCACACCTTTAATCCCAGGACTCAGGAGGCAGAGGCAGTAGGATCTCTATGAAGTTGAGGCCAGTCTGGTCTACAAAGTGAGTTCCAGGACAGCCAGGGCTACACAAAGAAACCCTGTCTCAAAAAACCAAACCAAACCAACCAACCCCAAAACCTGAGTTCCATCCCTAGTGATGGCATCTAAAGGTGCAGGATAGGGTTAATTTTCTCGGCCAATTATTAATAAAATAGGCAAGAAAGAAATAAGTGGAAAACTATGGGGAGTTGCCATAGGATATCAGGATATGTGGGGACCTTCTTGGGGTTCTTAGTCTCATTGATAAAAGACTTTAAGAAAAAGCTCAAATGGAAGCTCAAGGATAGAGTTTAAAAAGAAAATCTCCAAGGCAGGCAAGCTGTAAATCTCACAGCTGCCAGGAGAAGGGGGAAAGCCCTGCCATTTGAGATAAGCCTGCAGGGAGGTCAGCCGGCTGGAAGCAGACAGACGCGTGGTGGGGAAGAAGTTCTGGCGAAGGAATAAGGAAACCCTACGTACCAGGGACCTCAAAAGCTTCATCCTTAAGTTTTTAAGCTTTGTCTGGAAAGAAAGACAGAAGAAAAAGGAATAGTTGGTGAGAATACACTACCCAATCCCATGTTGGAGTGTGCTCATAAGGAGCGTGCGGGGGTGGGGGGGGGTGGTGGTAGAGATTTTAAGAGGGAAAAATACGGTTATTTTAAGATGAACCCACTTTACAAGGGACAGGTCCTCCTTCCCGGGGGTAGTCCTATAATCAGGACCTTGACCTACCCACGCAACTGGATTAACTTTTTTTTGAGAGGGGTTTCTCTGTGTAACAGCCCAGGTTGTCCCGGAGCTCACTTCGTAGACCAGGCTGACCTTGAACTCACAGAGATCTGCCAGCCTCTGCCTTCTAAACACTGGGATTAAAGGTGTGTACCACCTTCGCTAATTCTTCTTAAAGGGGAGACAAGGGACATATCTGCACCTAGAAGTATACGCTAATCTATCACATAAAAGCGTGTTACAGCACGCACACTTGTAATCCCAGCACACAGGAGGTGGAAGCCGAAGGATCATAGGGCCAGTCAGTTTATGAGGGACCTTGTCTTATTAAAAAAACAAAAGCCGGGTGGTGGTGGCGCAGGCCTTTAATCCCAGCACTCAGGAGGCAGAGGCAGGGGGATCTCTGTGAGCTCGAGGCCAGCCTAGTCTACAAGAAATAGCTCCAAAGCCATAGAGAAACCCTGTCTCGAAAAACAAACAAAAACAAAAAAACAAAACAAAAACGTTAAAAAATAAGATAGCGAGTAAACAAACAAACAAATAAAAAAAAAAACCCCAAAACTAGACCCACCAAAAGTCTAATGGTTACTGTCAACTTTATCTAACTAATCCCGCGGTCTAGAATCCCCAGCCCTTATTTTCCACGACAACGTCACCGCGCTAAGGAACTATTGCCTGTCGCTCGGAGCCTCCCGCACCAATACCACGCACCACCACAACAGCGTGAGATCACCGAAGACAGGTCTAGGCCACCTTAAGAACTACATTTCCCGTGAGGCCATGCTTCTTCGCAAGGCGAGTACGCAGGCGCGCGCTCCGTGTGCGTGGCGGCGTCAGCGGTTCTAGAACGTTGCTGTGGTAGCGCTCGGGCGCCATGTTAGGACGAAGGGGAAGGAGGAGAAGCGCTTAAAGCGGCGGGGCGCGGGTGCGGGACTGGGTTGGCCCTGGGGCTGAGGCAGGCCACCGTCCCTCCCGCCTCGGTGGATCATGCCCAGGACGGCGGCGGCGGTCGCGGGGGGGAAGTGACTGGGCGGTGCCGGCGCCGGAGACGATGCCGTTGTAAGTGATTGGCGTGCTGAGTGAGGCGCACGCCGGCGGGGCCCCGGGGGCGGCGAAGGGGGAGGGGAGGCGCACGGGCGGCCTGGGCCGCCGCTTTCGGCTTCTTGGACGAGGGTCCCTCGCTAAGACCCAGGAACAGAACGGCGCCTGGTGCGGACTGGCGGTCCGAGTCACCCCAGTCCCTTCCTGTCTCTTTTTCACCATGGCGCCGTCCTGCCTCCGAGTCCCGCACTTCCGCTTCCCCCCACGGAGCGGGTGAGGAGCGGGGATCGGGGTGCCGGCCGCGCTGGTGGGCCGGGGATCGCTCCCGAACGCCGGGCTGCGGGCGGCGCCTTCCCGGCTTTGTTTTGACTGGGCGACCCAGCTTGGGCGCACTTCCTGATCCCTCCGGCCCGCGGGTCACTCACGTTGTGATTCCGAGTGTAGGCTCTGAGCGAATTCACCCAGGCCTTCTAATCCCACTAGGTCTACTTCACAGACTTTACCTTGATTCTTTTTCTCCTAATTTTCTTCCTCTCCCTTTTTTCTCCTAAGAGATTGGCCATCCCATTGTTGGAATCTAGAAGTAGATAAGAGCGTGTATTCTGCTTCCGTGTGAAGGCTTAGGTTGTGCGACTACTTTTCTTTCATAACAGGAGAGGCAGCTAATTTTGACACAGCATCAATATGGGATCCCTCGGATTGTACTTAATACTTTAAAAGTGGATCCTTTGGCCTCTTCGTTTTTGTTGAGAGACCCTGATGTTTTGTTCAGAGATCCTTTGGATGTATTTTATTTCTGTAAGGATAACATTTGTTAGGCTTACTAGCTACTATATCGATGTAAAACCCGCGAAGTTCCCGTTGAGTCATTCTTCACGGAGCGAGGGTAAAGTAAAGCACGAGTCTATAAACTTTGGTGTTTTTTTCATTGGGATTCAAATAAATGTGAATGGTTGGAGTGTTGTCACGTGGTAACCTTGTCTTAATTCCTGTTGACTGCTCCTGATATGTCAGTAGTAAAAAAGATGGACGCACATCCTAAAGGGAAAGACTTCAGATTAGAAATAACGTTAAGTAATTTATGTGTGGGGGTGCAGATAGGAAGGAGAGTCTGCATTTCCGTCTCAGCACGCTTGAGAAGATGAGCAGGGGCACTTCAGAGTTACAGAAACTTCCAGTTCCAGGCTCTAAGCGCTTTAATCTTTGCGATTTATTTCAAATGTATAAAATGAAGGTTTGTTTCATGGGATTTGAACTCTACAGCCAATTTCTCACAAGCTGTCCTATTTTAACCCAGAGAGTACTGGTACTCTTACTAATACAGGGCAACGGAAGGCTGCCTAGTTGGGAAGGCCAGGCCTTCCTTCTCATTACTTTGCTTTCTGAGAGCCTCTGACACTGCTAACCTCATTTCTCCATGGAAGGCTTGCCTTGCTTCTTGTCTTCTGGTGTCACTTGACATTAATTTGGTGCCTTTGATGTACTGAGTTGTGATTTCCTAGATATTTTGTGTTCGACATCCAGTGTGGTTTTGGTGTGCTTGTTAAATTTGGGCATGTAAATTGGGATTGAAGTGTAGACAGCTCAGGAGAAAGGTTGGGGTCAGAGTGGATTGAATCATTGCACTCACAGGTGCATGTTTTGTCTAAATTTTGAATTATAATTACAAACATAATTTGAAAAATGCTGCTGTAGTAGTGATACTTTGAAAAATTATGGAGAAAACAAAGACGCTTTTAAAAAACACTTGAAAGTTCTAGAAGTCCATTAAGAAAGTTTCTCACCTAATGCTGTTGACATTAAGCCACATATTTCCTTTCAGGGAGGTCTTCCTGTGTCTTCTAGGGTCTTTCTTTAGTAGTGCCTCTGACCTCAGCTTAGTAGATGTCAGCAGCCTTACCCCAGTGATTTCCTCGAAGTGGCAACAACACAGATGCCTCCAGACTTTTTCAGATGTACTTTAAAGTACATAGTTCGTTGGTTCAAGAACCACTGTGTTAGTCAGGAGGTGATGGCATATGCCTTTAATCCTAGACAGAACAGAATCTCTGAGTTCAAGTCTGGCCTGGTCTACAGAGTGACAGATAGCCAGGGCTACACAGAGAAACCCTCTCTTTGAAAACCAAAATAAATAAATAAATAATAAAAAAAATAGGAATTGCATTAATGAAAAGTATGTGTCATACATTTTATTCTTGCCTTATGCTAATGGCCAAATCATTTGTGCCAGCATCAGTGTTAGCATCCATGCCACACCCAGAATGTTGCTGAAGTTGTTGGAACTATTTAGTGAGACTTGGAGAAGACAGTAGTTCCCCTGTGTGTTCATGAGGGCATTTACTAGAAGAGAATGGGAGGACTTGCCTGATCAAAGGTAGAGCTGGGTCCAGCTGGTGGACACAATGTGGCTGTGACTTAGTGTGGTCTCCTGGTGCAGGATGGTTGTGGGCCATCACTGAGGGCCTTTTAACAGGGTTGAAAGCTTCTCTTGATTTTGCTCTTGGTATTTGCAGTCATGTGTAAGGCAGTGATGAGGAATGCTCCTTGAGCCTTAGGAATCCCATGGTGCATGCACTTCTTGAAGTGTACAGGTGATGCATACCTATAATCTCAGCGCTGGAAGTGGAGGAGAGAGGTTTGAGTCGAGCTTAAGCTACATAATAAGGCTCTGTCTCAAACAGCAGAGAGCAGTTTATTGCTAACATATATTGTAAGGTTTTTTGTTATTGTTTTTACAAAATAGTTTCATTGTGACATTTTCACACATGTATGATGTACTGTCATGGACATAATATGTAGAATAGTTTTTTGGTAAAAAGTGATTTTTTTTAAGTCTGCAACTTTAGTGCACTGCATTTGAAGTATCTAAAAAAAACCACACAATTTAATAACAAGACAGTATTAACAAACAAGAGCAGGCTAACGGAAGAAGAAAGGGACAGGAAAAGGTATTCTAATAATAAATCTTTGGAAAAATAATTTTCTAATTGGAGAACACATGTATGTGTGGATGAAGGTGCAAGCATCTGTGCATGTTCTTGTGGAGGCCAGGGATGTCATCAGATGTCTTCTGTTGCTTTCTATTTTCATTTTGAGATGGATCTTTCTGAACCTGGAGACCACGGATTCAGCTATACTGGTTGACCAATGAGTTCCAGGGATCACCTGAACTTTCTCCCTTCCCCTCAAGGCTCGGGTTACAGACACTTGGAGCTAGGAATTGAACTCAGATCTTCACGGGTGTGTGGGTGTGTGTATAGGTAGTATTTGACTGAGACTGGGAAGTCAGCTTCAAGATTGGAGGTTAATGTTGTAAGAGAATTGTTTGCTGCTCAGTAAGTGATTATGGTTTTTGAAATGCTGTTTTCTTTTAAACATGTTAATGAACATGTTTGATTCCTAGTCCATGAACACCTTCATCGTTTTTACTCGAGGCAAAAATGTCTTCTGGCTTGATTATTTGGTAAGTCAATTTTATGTTAGTAGTACACCTAAATTTAGCCTTCATTTGTCTCTAGACAAGTATTTTAAAATTTTCTTTTCCCCAGGCTGTAGTGGCACACGCCTCTAATTCCAGCAGGCTCTCTGTGAGTTCAAGGCCAGCCTGGTATACCAGAACTAGTTCCTGGACAGGCTCCAAAGCTACAGAGAAACCCTGTCTTGGGGTGAGGGGACAGGGGAAAACCATTATTTTCCTTTAAAAAAAAAAAAAAAAAAAGACCATTAGGGTGCTTAGCTAGTTCTCATTTCTTTTTGCCTTTAATTCTGTATCTTTAATGTCCATAACAGCTTTTTAAACTTTTTAAAATATTGTACAACATTGGGTTATAATGTTCAAGGCAGTGATGAAGGTGATAACTGCTTCTGTTCTGCTTAGATTTTTTTTCTGTTTGACGTGAGCAGAAGTGATCAGGGAAAACAACCTCAACTGAGAAAATGAATCAGATTGTCTGTAGGCACCTCTGTAGGGCATTTTCTTGGCTTAATGATTGATAAGGGAGGGGAGGGCCCAGGGCCCAGCCCACTGTGGGTGGTACCACATCTGTGCAGGTGGTTCTGAATTATATAAGAAAGGCAAACTCAGCAAGGTGTGAAGAGCAATTAGGAAGCAGTGTTCCTTCACGGCCTCTGCTGTGTTTCTGCCGTGACTTCTTCATGATGGACTCTAAACTGTAAGCAGAAATAAACCCTTCCTCCTAGTTGCTTTGATCATGATCTTTCTTTCTTTCTTTCTTTCTTTCTTTCTTTCTTTCTTTCTTTCTTTATTTATTTATTTATTTGTGGGTTTTTTTTTTTTTTCGAGACAGGGTTTCTCAGTAGTTTTGGAGCTTGCCCTGGAACTAGCACTTGCAGACACAGAGTTGCTGGGATTAAAGGCGTGCGCCACCACTACCGGCTATTTTTTTTTTTTATTGATATTTATTGAGTTCTACATTTTTCTCTGCTCCCCTCTCTGCCTCTACCCTCCCCCCTTCAACCCTCTGCCAAGGTTCCCATGCTCCCAGTTTACTCAGGAGATCTTGTCTTTTTCTATTTTCCATGTAGATTAGATCTATATAAGTCTCCCTTGGTGTTCTCATTGTTGTCAATTCTCTGGGATTGTGGTTTGTAGGCTGGCTTTCTTTGCTTTATGTTTAAAAAACACCTATGAGTGAGTACATGTGATAATTGTCTTTCTGTGTCTGGGTTACCTCACTCAAAATAATGTTTTCTTTCTTTTTTTTTTTTTTTTAAAATATTTATTTATTATGTATACAATATTCTGTCCATGTGCATGTCCACAGGCCAGAAGAGGGCACCAGACCTCATTACAGATGGTTGTGAGCCACCATGTGGTTGCCGGGAATTGAACTCAGAACCTTTGGAAGAGCAGGCAATGCTCTTAACCACTGAGCCATCTCTCCAGCCCCAAAATAATGTTTTCTTGCTCCATCAATTTTCCTGTAAAATCCAAGATGTTGTTATTTTTTCTGCTGTGTAATACTCCATCGTGTAAATGGACCACATTTTTTTATCCATTCTTCGATTGAAGGGCATTTAGGTTTCTTCCATTAGGTTCTGGATATGACAAACAAAGCTGCTATGAACATAGTTGAGCACATGTTCTTGTGGCACGATTGAACATCCTTTGGATATATACCCAAAAGTGGTATTACTGGGTCTTGAGGAAGGTTGTTTCCTAATTTTCAGAGAAATTGCCACACTGACATCCACAGGGGTTGTACGAACTTGTACTCCTACCAGCAATGCAGAAGTGTTTCCTTTTTCCCACAACCTCTCCAGCATAAGTTGTCATCAGTGTTTTTGATCTTGGCCATTCTTACAGGTATAAGATGGAATCTCAAGAGTTGTTTTGATTTGCATTTCTCTGATGACTAAGGATGTTGAACATTTCCTTAAGTGTCTTTCAGCCATTTTAGATTCCTCTGTTGAGAATTCTCTGTTTAGGTCTGTACTCCATTTTTTTTAATTGGATTATGTGATCTTTTGGTGTTTGATTTTTTTTGAGTTTTTTGTATATTTTGGAGATCAGACCTCTGATGTGGGGATCATGGTATTTTATAACAGCCAAAAGAAACCTAACTAAGACAGTTCTGCTCTCTACACATGAGCCTGTGGCATGATCTCTCACACCACGTAAATAAAACATAATAAAAATTAATAGGAAAAAGCTTAAATCATGTCTTTTTATTTTTCCCAGTGTTTTGTGACTAGTCCAGGCTATCTTGGGGAAGTTGATGCAGGAGTGCTCCCCCTCTTCCCTTAGAGTCTGTAGCAAAGGAACAGTTAGAAACACCCATAGGAGCTGGATGATGGTGGCGCACGCCTTTAATCCCCACATTCAGGAGGCAGAGGCAGGCGGATCTCTGAGTTTGAGGCCAGCCTGGTCTACAAGAGCTAGTTCTAGGACAAGTTCCAAAACTATAAAGAAACCCTGTCTTGAAAAACCAAAAAAAGGGGGGGGGGCAAAATCAAAATCAAATAAATACGTTTTTATTAAATAACAAAATAATATCCTTTGGAAGAATAGGAAAGTGACCTGGCTTTTGACTGAATGACTGTGTCCTTTTCCTGCACAGTCAACCTGGAATTGATAGTTTGGCCTTAGGTTTCATCATACTTTATTCATTCCCCTTGGGTAAAACCTGTTTAATGCTAAATTCCTTGTGATAACCTGGAATTCCAGGTTGTAGCCTAGACTGGCATCAAATTCTTTTAAATCGTTCTGCCTCAGCCCGTGAGTGCTCAGATTACAGGGCAAGCCACTATACCTGACTGGGAATGAATGCTTAAAATAGTTATTATTTTTAGTTATTTTGTCTTTGTGCTTGCATATAAGTGTGACCATGTAGGTCAGAGAGCACATCAGATCCCCTGGACTAGAGAGTTTGAGGTGGTTGTGAGCCATCCAGTATGGGTACACTACTGGGAACTGAACTTTTGTGGTCCTCTGTAAGCATCAAGTGCTCTTAACTGCTGAGTCATCTCTCCAGCCCCCAGAATTAATATTAAATACATATTGCAGTACCTTTGTATGTTCCTTCTATGAGAAGGGTCAGATTTTAGTATGTGGAAAGTCAAAAGAAACAAAAGTGAATGGAGTAAATGTCAGGCATGCCCACATTCTGGAATAGCACTGGAGTACATGATGTTCCTGTCAGTCGTATATCTGTATAAGAATTTGGGGCCATATTTTGGACAATCTTATGGTTGTTGTTTTGTTTTGTTTTGCCACCCTAGGCTTAGGTACTATGTCCCCATCCCCTGAGACAGCTTCTCTCTGTAGTAGAGCCAGACTTCAAGCTCATGACCATTCTCCTGCCTCAGCCTCCAGACTGTTAGAATTCTAAGCCTAGAATTCTATGCCCAGTTTGTTGTTTTAAAACGTGATGGAGTTTAGACTTGTCTACCTTGTCTTAAAAAAATGTTGGAGAGGCTCTATCTTTCATTGTCGGAACTTTGAACTTCATAGATGGCTAGAGTTAAAGTTGTTGGCCGCCTTTAATTCTAGCACTAGAGAGCCGGAGGCAGTTGGATCTCTGTGAGTTCTGGGCCAGCCTAGTCTACAGAGTGAGTTCAGGACAGCCAGTACTGTTTCACAGAGAAACCCTGTCTAAAGACTAAACTGGCCCCTACACCCTTTGTTTTTTGAGATGTCTCTAGCCTTTGTTGACCTGGAACTTTGTAGTGTAGTGTAGACCATGCTTTGAACTTGCCACTATCCTCCTGCCTCTAATCTCCTCAATGCTGGGATTAAAGTATATATTTTCATATTCATGACTCTTGTTAGTTTTCTGTCTGTGATATATACTTAAGAAAAATTAAGAGAAAGGCCAGGCAGTGTGCCACAGGCTGCCTTAATCCCAGCAGCGGATTAAGCAGGTAATCTCTGAGTTCAAGGCTAGTCTGGTCTAAAAGAGCTAGTTCCAGGACAGGCTCCAAAGCCACAGAGAAACCCTGTCTCGGAAAAAAAAAAAAAGATAGAAAGATTTTTTTAAAAAAGTCTTTTATTTTGGCTCTGTGTGTCAGGTTCCACACCATGCTCAGATGGCTGCATTGCTGTGGCCTAAGGTAAGGCTGAGCATCATGCTGGGGGCCACCTACATTAATTAGGGTGAGCATGAAGCAGAGTTTGTTCTTTTATGTTTGGGGGACAGTTTTATCTAGACAGGCTGATCTTGAACTTACACAGAGCTACTGTTGATCTTCCTGCTTGCACTCAAAGTATTGGGACCAGAGGCATTCGCTACTAGGCCTAACAAAGTAGAATAATGTCTGGAAAAGTGGTAGATGTGGCCTGATGTTTTCAGGCATAGAGGTGCAGGCGATATCTGTGAGGTGAGCTAGAGCTTCATCCTTAGGGTTTTGGTCTAGTTTGTTTAAATTGAGTGGTATACTTTGTTTTGTTAGAAACTGAACAGTTGCTGGGTAGTTGTACACCTTTAATCCCAGCACTTGGGGGAGGTAGAGGCAGGCAGATCTCTGAGTTTCAAGACAGCTACACAGGGAAACCCTGTCTTAAAAAAAAAAAAAGAAGACTGAACAATTGCAAAAAGACATCTTAAGTTGCTTTTAGCACTGTATTTGATTTCTCTCTTCCTCATGCTTTTCTTTCCTCTTTCCAGTGTCTTTCATACTGTTCAAGTGTTCTCTCAACTCATGTCCTCAGCCCTGTTACTCTGTTTAATTTCTAGTGTTAAATGGGAAAATGTGAGTTTTCTATTTAAAATTCAATAACATTGTTTCTCCTTGGAACATTTTGGACTCTGAAAACAAGTACCACAGTGTTTAGAATGTGTATGTTTTTATTTAATTGTGTGAGAGAGTCGTACCTACCTACACATACACCGTTCTCAATGCATGTGTTTTCTCCATAGCATAGAAATCACAACTTTTAAAGAGTACTTAACCTTCTTTCTGTGTTCATTCTGAAGAATGTCATGTTCTTGCCACTGCCCAGTGTACTTCTTCTGGTCAGTTCTCAGGTCTTCACCTCTCACATTCCCATAGGAATGCTGGGGTTAAATATTACCTGCTGAGCCATCTCCCCAGTCCCTATTTTTACCTGTCTTACTATGCATGTTTTACTTGAATTAGATGATATGTGTGTGCTTATGTACACATGTGAAAGTGTACATAACCAGATATAAGTTGTATATGCTTTTGAATTAGATGAGGTGTGTGCTTGCTTGTGTGTACACATGTGTATGCATAACAGATGTTCTGTGCTTTTTGAATATGAAACAAAGTAGCTAGATGATTACATTTTGAGTCAAAGTAAATTTAAAAAAAAAAACCACCTGCATATGATTTATCTCCCCATCATTTTAGCATGGAAACTAATATGGACATAAGGGAGTTTTTCCCTCAAAATTTTACCCCCTTTTTGAATTTTCTTTTTCCTTTTTTTTTTTTTTGGTTTTTCGAGACAGGGTTTCTCTGTAGCTTTGGTGCCTGTCCTGGAACTAACTCTTGTAGACCAGGCTGGCCTCGAACTCCCAGAGATCCGCCTGCCTCTGCCTCCTGAGTGCTGGGATTAAAGGCGTGCGCCACCATGGCCCAGTTTTTTTTGGGGGGGGCATGGGCTTTTGTAGCTCAGGCTGATCTTTTAACTTGCTATGTAATGAAGGAATAACCTTGATTTACCTCTGCTTCAATTCTGAGACTACAGATGTGCACCACCATGCCTGGCCCTAGATTGAACAGTTC